CACACTGGTGGAATGCGCGGAATACCTATTTGAGTTAAAATGTGGTATCAATAAACTAAACATCAATCTCTATTCATTGACAGCGTCCACTACTGGTTGAGTTACGTCCAACCAGTGAACGTGAACGCTGACGTTAGTTCGAGTCACAACGCTTCCCTTGTACTCTCATGTTCTTATATGCGAGCATATCAAAACTTTCCTCGAGAGTCAAATTAACGGGGTTGCTCGACTGCCCACCAGTGTGTATTGCGCGCCGTACATTCGAAGAGTTTATCCTTAGAATGTCTCTCACTTACAGCAGCTGAGTGTGCGCACGTGCGTGCGTGTGCGCGCATCTGTGTGCCTGCCTGTACTGTTCAGGAGGACATTATCAGGAATAATGTTTTTTTTTCACAACTTTCTTCGGAAATTCTACGCTTTTCCCTGAATAAATTTCGGAGGGCCATCATAACGGCACCGAATCGTTAAGAATTCCGTCTTGTTGCATTACATAAATGGCCCTTGATCCGTGCCCAATTTGAGGCGATCTATTTGAAACAGCTAGGATATCATGGCTAAGAAGGAGCCACTGTGCAATTCTGCAATCTAAAGTTCTGAAGAGGGATTAAAATGTGGGTGAGCCATTTTGCGCATTTCATTCTTTCACAAGCGATGAGTGGTTCACACCCCGAATCATTATGCCCCTCAAAATTGCAGGCTACTATAACGCAGGCGCTAAATTGCAGAAGTGCTCCTCCGTGTCATTAAGAGGCTGAACCTGCTTCCAGCGGAACCTCCTTCAACCACAGGAAACACTTTTTTTTGATTTGGCCACGTAGATTCAGTATGAAAGAAATATTACTGTCATGGAGGGACATACTGAATGGTCTCGAACAGTCCCTTAAGAAGTGAAATAGCGTGGTTAGGGTCTAGAGCCGGGAAACTTTCTTGTGATATTTGTGCTCCACTCAAAATCTCCTTTTCACCTTCTAACTCCTCTTCTCCTTCCTCAAGGTTTCCCAACTTCCTGCTACTGGACTTTTCTCTGGAAATTTTCTCCAAAACATTAGCTGTCCCTGAATAACAGTCTTGAGGGAGGGAGGGAGGGGTGAAGAAGGACTTTAGAGCGCACTCGAGAACGGAAAAACCAAGGGAAGTCAACAAGCAAAAAAGTTGTTCTCAAATATTACCCACGATCCTTCTCCCTCTACAGCTGCCAAGGGGAATCCTTTCGCTGAGAATTTCCATCGACGTGCATCGGAGTTCAGTTGTGCTCGAGTTTGCATGAGGCCAACGTAGTCTATTTTGTCCTAGCACCATTACACAAGTTTTTGCATAATGTGCAAAAGCGCTAATTCGCAGAGAATCAGTCTGAAAGAAGCTTTCCACTGGAGAAAAGTTCCAATTCATTAACTCTTAAGTAGCTATATCCTGCTCATTTTCGTCGAATTAGGAGACAAAGGTTTCGAAAGCGTATGATGGAGCTGTGACACTGGTTATGACCTTCAGTGAACTCGAACAGTACTAGGTTGGACAAGTGCCCTGTGCATATGGGCCTGCAGGCCTATTACGTGGCAAGGGTTACAAGGAACCCGTCGCTATTGTTCTTGGGAACATGGCTCTCAAATGACGGTCTTTGATGTGTGTGGAGCATGTGTGTATGTGTATGTACGTGGACCGTGCGTCTTCAGAAAACAAACAGTTGAGTGAGGGCGAAAGCCGAGTTGTCCCCCATCGTCCGTTAGCGAAATTCGATATACCCCATACATGGGACCCCGTCGTCGATCAACAAGGATTCACCACTTGCACAAATGAGTGAAACAACGACGATGGGAGGCAATTAATTGGCTTTCTCACATGATTTTCCAGAAGAGCGTGCTCTCGAGCTCACGGGAACCTCACCTGAGCCAGAGAAAAAGGTAGGGAATGAGAAGGACCAGATGAAATGTCTCGACTCTGGAACAAGAAATCTTATGAAAAATCACATTAAATGGTTTCAAGAAAACTGAACAACCAAACAAAACAAGACAAAACTTAGCACATCTATTGCCTTTGGTATTCGTAGGCGTCCTTGCTGTACTAGCATCTGGCCCTCAGCCTCTAGTGCTGTTCCACTTTCACGGCCTTACGGGAAGTAAGGAAGGTGTTGCGGGTTCCGGCTCTCATTATCGGCAGTCCTGACGCCTCTCCTGCTGTGCCGCCTCCAAACTGGAACCCATACTTTCTGCGTGGTGTTCACTTTTTACACCTCGTTTTCCCTTTCTTCTGGGCTGTCAGATTAATAGCACTGTATGACGCAAAAAAACAATCAGTGAGTCGAAAAATCCGGTGGGCATAAAACGAGCACGTCCAGAGCACTCGTGCAATGAGGCAGCCGGGGTCCTTGAGTAGTTAGTTCTTCACGAGTTTTTTGCTTTCCCCTTTCCTGGGGATCATTCAGATCACCTGGGACATTTTG